ATATATATATATCACTCTCAACATTGACGCCACCACCACTAAGACTACGGTAACAAACCAAGGTCGGACAGACATCAGTCTTTGGGTGACCAGCGATAAACTTAGTCAATGAAAAACCCAGACAGTTTGCTCATTGCACATAGATCTAGCAACCTAAAAAACCCACCAAAGATAGATTGAAGTTAACGGTCACAACCTCCACACCAGACACAAAGTGACTTCTCCACACGCAGCTCTTGACCGAGATGGCGTCAATTGTCCAGACATAAGGAACAGCAACAAAGTAATAAAAACCTTGGCGTAGTTCTTGACGACAATTTCAACACATTTCCTCCTACGTAAGTGAGAATTGTACAAAGATTTGTTCCGCCAGCCGCGGCAGATTGGAGAGTTAGAAAGTAGGTCAAGACGAAAAACATCCAAAGTACTTGTGGCATCACTTATACTGTCATAACGAGATTCCATACACTCTTTACTAACTGGACTACAAAAAAATAAACCGTCTTTTGCATCCCCTCCAAATTGTCTAAAACCGTGCAGCTCGATTTACAAAGACAAAAACCCCAATAGAAACCACGTGACCCCAATGCTGAAATATCTACACTGGTTACCCATAGACAAACGCATTGTTTACAAGATCTGCCCCTTATGTTTGACATTACTCAATGGCCTTTAACCATACTGCATCTCAAGGGACATTCATAAGTATACGCCTTCGACGCAACTAAGATCAGACTTAGACAAAGTTATTTCAATGACCTAAGCTCCATTTGCTGCTCTCTTGTAGTGGTATTACCATGCATACTGTTTTCTTTACATTCAACAACAGTCCTTTACGTTCACTTTCCTTTACAACTGTACCTAGAGGCGACTGAAGGTCTTTTTCTGAGTCTGCTATTGAAACTGTGTCATCGGCATATATCTGATGTTATTAGTATTTTCGCCATTCACTTTGAGACCTGGACATTCTTCTATCTTTCTAAGCATTGTTTCACTGTACATGTTAAAGAGGTCTGGTGACATAACACATCCTTGCCTCACTCCTCGCCTAATCTGCTTATATTCACTGTATTCTCCATTAATTCGTACAGCAGCGTTTTGGTCTCAGTACAAATTTCTAGTAATTTCGTAGATCCTTCCCATCTATGTCCAGTATTCACAATAGCTCATCATGTCTAACTTTATCGAACGCCTTTGAATCATCTATCTGTCTGTGCTTCACTACATCTTTCCATTGACATAGTTAAGATAGCATTTCTGGTGCCCTTTTCATGAACAAAGCCGAACTGTACGGGTATTATTACTAGTAGTAGTAGTCGTAACATCTCATTTCTTTATCACTGATTTGACCTATTTGTGTTTCAACTGCCGTAAAACTCTTAGCACATGATACCGTACACAAAGTGACGGCGTCAAGCACGTACAAGTCTGTGTATCTATTTCCCCCCTCGCTCGCCCAGACTCCGTGTTGTGTCAAGTGATGTCGACAAGCTTGTACAAGTCTGTCTATCTATTTCCCCCTTCGCTCGCCCAGACTCCGTGTTGTGTCAAGTGATGTCGACAAGCTTGTACAAGTCTGTCTATCTATTTCCCCCCTGGCTCGCCCAGACTCCGTGTTGCGCCAAGTTTCCCCCACAAAGCCACCAGCTGCTGTCTGTAGCTGGAGTTGTAAGTGACGTAGACAAACATGTTGAGAGAGGAGCAGAGAAGAAGCAGAGAGATTCGGAGCAGTCCCACAAGACTGTAGATTTCTCCCAGCTGTCTGAGGTCGTTGAACTCTGGCTCCACATAGGAGGCGTACATGACGAGAACGCTGGGGAGATTGCAGACGACAAACATGGCGGCCACAATCACCACCGACTGCACCGCCCTCAGCTCTTTCCCGGAGAGTTGCGCCCCCTTGGACGGCTCCTTGCTGCCTGGCAACTCCGAGGTCATTCGGAACTTTGTCGCCTGTTGGAGTTTGCCGGTTAGGACAAACAGACAGCTGATGACCACGACTTGGGAGACGGTTGGGTCTGCGGCAAAGACCAGGGGGTACACAATGTTCACTATCGTCTGCCGATATGGTGCAAAATTCGGAATTACTACAGTTTTGTTCAAACGTGGGTTCAATACCCACCGAAATCTGACGGTGAGAATCAGAGGAGCATAACAGGCAAAGCAGACTAGTGTAAGAACGAGCAGGGTGGCCAGGACTTTTTTGCCTGTGAAAATAAATTTGAACTTGAGCGGGAACGCCACGCAGCAACACTTTTGGACCGTGAGGTAGACTGTGAAGAAGGTGGACATTTTGTAGGTCATCTGGAAACTGTAGAGAGCCTGGACGTAGAGCGTGTAGATGAGAGGGGAAGACATTCCTATCTGGAACCTGAGAAGTGGATTCACAAGAAAAAGTACAAGGGAGAAGAGATCAGCCACTGTGAGGGCAAACAGAGTGACTGAAGTCGCACTTTCCAGTATACCTGTCCGCCGAAATATCTCCACGTTACACAGATTTGTGAGGATGCCAAACACAGCTATACACATGTTGGTGGTCTGGACGATATTCTTGATCATCACAAAACTGTAGACAACCGGATGTGACGTCACTGGGGCAGTTACAGTACAGTTTGTAACACACATCTCTGGTACAACAGTTGTTATTTTTAGTGCCTGATTTCGTCGCGAAAGAACGTAAAATGTCCTAAGCTGTGTTTCCTCAGGGATACAAATTATCTTAGCCTAGAATGTGGCGAAAGACATCAGGATAGTTCATTGATTCCCTCACAGGCTCGTCACTGGAGACTACTAGGTCTGTATTCCTTCCACTCTAGGGGTTGGTTCAAACCCACCTCTGGGGTGTAGTGGTTAGCGTCTGTATTCCTTCCTCTCTAGTTGGTGGTTCAAACCCACCTCTGTGGTGTAGTGGATAGCGTGTGTGCTTCGCGTGTGGACGGCGTGAGATCTTTCCCTTTCTGCCCGGACCTGTCCCTGTCAGCCCGGGTGACCCTGACAGACAGGACTGAAGTCCTCACACTGGAGTCCTGGGTGGTTGGTGGGTGATCCGTTGTGGTTTGTTCTTTCTAACTTACCAGACATCTATCGTCCTTATCTCCCCTCTCTTGTGTCTGTCTATGTTACTCTCTTGTAACACCTCTAATCTTCGGCACTTATATGATCTAAGTTTGGGTTTCCAATTTTTTGGTTACTGTTCTTTTTTCCGCGAGCACAAACTCTGACTAAAACTGGAATCTTTGAGACTTTTCAATGAATGTGTAAACAGAATGATTTGAGAATTTCAAGTAGACTAATTTTATGATGCATTTACGAACTAACAAAATTTGCCTTTCAACTGTAATTAAAAATCTATTTGAGCAGTAAAATTCTCTCATTCTTTCTTTTCGTCAGTGTTTGGTGGTTTAATTGGCTGCTTGCGCTATAATCATATTCTTCCCGGGAAGTCGATAAATTGTCTGCGTGTTCTACGATTGGTCTGTTGAGGTAACAATGGCTGTGTAGTGCACAAAGTACGGATAGCGCCATATATATCCAATTATTAGCACATTATGACAGATAATTTACATCATTAGTTTCACGTCTGCTCGTGTTGCAGCACCAGACACCAGGCGTGACTATTTGCCCCCCCCGGGCATAACCCGATAATGTGTAACTTGCCGAACGCTGGTGTATGAGAAGTTTGCTCTCCCCGGCTCTCAGTGTTCACTTAGCCTACATCACAGCTTTGCTTGTACGTGGAATACGTTTATAAAGATTCTTCCTTTTCCTCTGGGAGAGGTTAGCATCTGCCACTTATTGACAGACGCCAATTTAGATCAACTCATATTATACAGCACATTAAAGACTTTCTAACTGATGTGGTAATTCTATAATTAGGTTTTCCACACGGTGCTGATCCTTGAGGGCTTTGTCTTGAACCTACTCAACGGTTGATCCTTTAGGAAATAGAAGAAGCCGTGAATTTATTACTTGTTCTAGCTGCTGATTGGTTCAGTTTTTGTGATTATGTCTTTACCCGGTGGGTTTGTTTCGATTGGTTCGGTGGGTGGCTGGTGGGTGCTCTGGTTTGGTTTGCTCTCTCTTTCTTTTCAAAATCTCATCATCATCCAGTGCCTTGCTGACTGGCGTGGGCGATCATGGACCTCCACTTCACTGTATCTTGCCATGCAGCGATGGTGTCTGTCGTTCTTGCTGTTCCCAGCCATGTTGTCAACTTG